AAAGTGTGGCAAATATCCACAGTCTCTTCTATATTCGCGATCAAATTAAAAAGTGATAGTGTTTAGTGTTGCATTAAAATGTGGTGCATCTGTAAACAGTTGTTGTGATTTTAAATAGCGGCACTCACTGTTGTTGCAGATAAAATATTGGGCATCACTACATGGCATATCATTCCATTCTACATTTGTCATCATACCACAATAATCTCTGCCTTCTGGTTGTCCAGTAGCCCAGTTCAGCTAGAGTGCAGGTTCACCTGAAGGCCACTCCCATTCATCACGACCCGTCTTCTGCAGCCCAATCCAGACAAACTGAGCACCTTCATCATTCACACTCTTCTTCAGCTCGTTCATGTCGTTCATGTTGTCAATGGTGGCCAGATCTGTGTAATTCTCTCTGCAGTATCTCTGAGCTTCAGTCCAGGTCTTCCTCTCATTTATAAAGTGATACTGACGCTGAACACATTCAGATACGGAGCAGAGAGCTGTGAAAGAGAGGCTTTGCTTCAATGATCTTCATAACAGGATCAAACCTAATGAAACTAGAAACCATAAATAAAACCACAAACACACTCACCAATGAGAAGAAGAATGAAATATAGATTTTGGTCCATTTCTGAGAAAGAAGCACATTGGAAAATTCAAATATCAGACATTTCTGGATTTGGTTTGGAGTCAAATATGACAGTTTCAGTTGGTATCTTAACAGTTGAATGAATGCAACAAACATTATCATTTAGTCAATATGAATATGCCAAAAGTCTAATTCTAGTGAAAAAATGAACACGTGAGTTGTTCTTACTTTAGAGGTTGTGTGTTTGTCTGTAGCTTCATGTGATTATTATATCTGCTCTCATCCATCATTCAGCACGTCACATCATTTGTGTTTTGTTCTAATACTAATTTTCATATTTTACTTCCTCCATATTTGTTTATTTGTCATCTCTTTCCCTTTATTTGCATATTGACATCTGCCAGTCAGTATCAGTCAACAGGAGTATGTACCTTAATCCAAATATATATATATATATAGAGAGAGAGAGAGAGAGAGAGAGAGAGAGAGAGAGAGAGAAGTTATTAAAAAAAGTATTGTGTGTGTGTATTGAGAGGAGGGTTCGAAGAATTAAAAAAAAAAGATAAAAAGAAATATTCTTTCTTCTTTTAATTTAAAACATCGTTACTTTTTTTTTATAATTCTTCTTTGTGAAAATTATTTTGTTTTTGTTTCATACTCCTGCTTATTTTCTGTTTCTTTATAAAACATGAACATATTTGCATGTAAACACATTCTCATTCACTTGCTTATGTCCACACCACATTTAGACATTCCAGCTGAACTATATTTACATCTCTAATGTAAAACAGAAGGATAAACAGTGAGTGTTATTGTATTTCATTACATATCATTGTCTTATTTATCTGTTTTATTGCAACAACAGGAAAGTCACTCTGTAACTGTGTCAAAATTCAAAGGCTGCATCCTTCAAAGTACATGAACCCAGCAAGCAATTTTGCATTTAGAAGACGTCTAATAGCCGTCCAAACTCAGCCCGGATGTCTAGGCTAAAACAAGGCTGTCAGTTAAAATGTAATACATGTCTAGCCATAGCCCAAGAAGAGACTCCAAACAAATTAAATATAAAGATTTTATTAGGAAAAATAACATTTTTAACAAATTAGACAACTTATGATAATACAAAATGATAAAAATATAAAATAATTAATGACAAAATAAAAGATTATAAATAAAATGCACTTAAACATAAAGATTATAATAAAAAAATATGGAATTTTTTCACAACTGCATTCCTTAAGTCCAACTCTGTTGCTGCCGGAAGTTGGTCATCACCGCATCTGCCAAATAATTTTAAAAAATGCACGAGAAAAGCTTTTTTGATCATTTTTTACTTTAATTACACTAATTGTGACAGGGAGTCTCTTTTGCTTGGATGCATACTAAAAACAAAAACGAGATATATATCATGTATCACCATTCAGCCTAAAAAAAAAGACAGAAGCTCTCTGGTAAATGTTGTGTGTTTTATACACATACCTCTAATGACCGAGAACAGTGCATTCTTTTCAAATGCCTCTTTCTGCAGCGGACCACCCCCCTTCATGTTGAATTTGGACATTATGGAATCTTGTAAAACCCTAAAATATAATACAAATTGAGGTGGTTAACAATTGTGGACAAAGATTGAC